ATGGGTTGTTTCTATTTTTGCTTTAGTTAAAAGGGAACAAGAATATATATTTTAGTTGCTCAATCTAATATATATTTACAACATATCAATATATTAATTTAAATCGTTAAAAAAAAATTTGTTCGTAAGCTAGCTCACGGCTCATTTGATTTGGCTCGCATATATAACTCGCCAACTCATTTAAACTCGATCACTTAACTCGTTTATTAAATGAGTATGAAAAACATAGCTCGCGCTCGTTAAAATCCAAGCTGAGCTGAGCCAGCTCATGAGCTAATGACTCGTTTGACACTCTATTGGAAAGTATATAACATCGCAGGTTATCAAATACTACATCAGGTGATTTTGGGAGTGATTTTCTTAGATTTTTTTCTCAATATGGTGAAATCTTTTTTATGTGATTAGCCAATGTTTTCTTTGTCTAGGTTTTTGCAGCAGGATGCATTTTCATCGATTAGAAATTTTTTGATGATCATCATTCTCTTTCAGTTATTAGAGAAGGAGAATTAACGACACTGATGAGTTTCACATTAATGACATTTCAATTTCATTCATATTGGAGACATAACCAGCATATGAATGAATAACCTACACAGATCTTATCGTTTTCATAATTTTGAAAACCAAAAAAAATTGTTCGAAATAATACTAAATTTCAGTGAGCATATGGAGTTATGCGATTCGAATATGAGAAATTATTAGCTAGAAATGATAATCTATATTTTTTTCGAGTAGAGATATTTACTAAGATTTTTGTCTAGAGAGATTCTAACCTTCATTCTCGATCTCAGCTTCTTGCACGTTTAATGGCAGTAATTTAACATGTTCAAATTCGTTTTTAATAAAGGAAAAACAAACCAATTAAACCATAATGAAATATGGTTTTAGTTTTCGGATCGCTTATTTTGGTTCGTTTGGATCGGATACACTAATCTGGATTAAACATCTTATTGATCTGAACCAAAATTTAACATTCTACTAAACTTAAACCGAACATGACTCAAATTCTCAGCACTTATTAGCCCAAAGCACAAAGAAACCGGAAAATACAAACCCAAAACCGAACCGAATTTGGTAAAAGACTAAAAAAAGTAACAAAGACTAAACCAAAAGGCCAAATGGACCAAGAAGAAGGAACAAGCCGTTGCAACCAAACTCCATGCTCTGTTCAGACGATGATCACTTCCCTTGTTTGTGACCAAAGCTTTCACAGGACCAGCGGCATCGCTTACATGAGCGTTTACAGGAGCCACCGAATCGCTTTTGTTGTGATTTGGAGACAAGACGACGACAGTAAGCTTCTCTCCTCTTTGACAATGTCCTTCTTCACCACTTATGAAGTAATAAGGACCTGATCTCTTTAGCTCAATCTTTGTGTGACCATCTTTGTATCCTCTTATAGGCTCTGATCTGTCGCATCTCTCGTAATCTTTTGCCTTCACTTGCATCACTGAATCATTCTCCGCATTGTACTTCCACACTGTTGCAAACACAAGAGAATTCTCTCATTATAAGAAACAAAACAGAGCCACGTACCAAAGTGAAGTAAAAATCTGGAACCACTTACAGAGAGAATCTCCAATTTTGAATCTTGTTCTCTCTGACCAATTGTTTAGTGTTGTTTCCTCTCCGGATTCTGGAACTTTCCATGAGTTCGATTTGCCTCCCACCATAATCTCTCTACCTTCAGACGACAAACCAAATAACAGAAGCAAACAACATACTACAAGTGAAGACATTGTTATGAGTTTAATGATGTTTCTGTTTTGTGTGTGTGTGATTAATCTGAATCATATCATACGATGAGAATTCTTCAGCATAAATAGGAGAAGAGAGATCTCTGGCTTCTTGAATCCAAACAAATCACTTCCATGAACCAAAACGTGACCATCAAAAAACAAAGCTCGTGAAAATGAAGAAGCTATAAGCGTTACAAGAGCTGTGTGTTAATTGTGACCAAACCAACACCTTCACTATTGCGTTTACCCTCAATCATCTGATGGGTTGATGCAATAAACACACTAGAATCATCCATGTAATTGGAAAAAAGTTATTTACCTTTCGGATATTTAAAGTTTTGTTTTTTTTTTTTGTTGGTGATATTTAAAAACAGAGTAAATGGAATGCATGTGAGGAGAGATGGGACTTCCATTTAACCATTGAAGTATATATAGTAATAAATAAAGAAACATCTTTAAAAAAGAAACAAATAAACCCTAAAACCTAGCACCAGTTCTCAGAAATCAAGGCAGAGTTTTCATGCACAAACCCTATATATTAGTGAGTATAATATTAGCAGGTCTAAAAGCGAATCTTTTTTCCTTCTTTCCTCTTTCAACATCTGACTTTTTCTTGTGCAATATTAAAGTCTTGAAGTTTATATTTCAACTTCCATTCTCATCTGTCTCTTTTCAATGGACCCAGTTTTTGAATGAATTTTACAGACGACAATGGAACCACAAAGAAACAAAAGAAAGAGAGGTTTCTTCAAGATTTCTCCAACCAAAACCCATTATTAAAAAAGGTATTGTTGATAAATTTTTAAAAAAGAAAAGAAAAGAAAGTTTTGCCTTTTTTTTTGTTTTGCTTGACCCAACACCACAATTTAGTGCATAAGTCATTTTACCCACACTTACCTCTTTCCCTGCACAAGTCTGCTTCCATCTTCATCACTCCTGTCTCAACACAACACATACTCACAT